AAACAGTCCTCGGTTTCTCATCCCCGCCCCTTCCCCTACCTCTCCAGCCGCCTAACTTGTACCCTGTCGAAGCCCGAGATCATAGAAGCCTTTATCAGCAGAGCAGCATCGATGGGACCAGTTTTGGTGAACACTAGGGCCAAGCATAGGACAAACACGACAGAGAACACTTCTGGATTGACATCTTCCCACCATGGCCACCATCATGAGAGAGTCAAGCTACCCTCGCTTAAAATCGGGTTAAACCGATCGTGGATTACTTCAGGAGTATTTAGCAGTATAGACGAGACACGCGGACTCAGTTCAGTTTTGTAGTGGGACCCAAGGAGAGCGGATCAATATGAATGTATGCTTGTCAGTGGAGAAAGTTCCTCTAATGCTTTGGTAGAGAATGGAGTCGATAGTGAAATACAGATGTTGCTACGATTGAAAACGAGGAACAAGAAGTTTCAACGAGTGAAGTCGAAGCTCCCCAAATCTAGGGAGACCGACATAGGGACTGAAGTTAGCCGACTAAACCAGGTGGCAAAAAGACTTGAAGAACCGATCTGAGGGGGTAGTTCAGGTCCCTGCTGGACCAAACGGCATTTAGAAGGGGCGGAGATTGTCGTCAGCCCCTTCCTCCTTTACCTTTTTGTTTACCTGACCCCTTTCATTTTCTATTTCCCGTCATATGAGAGTCTATTTATATGCTTGTTTGTTGGAATTAAGGTTATGTTTTGGTGTGTTTCTCTTTTAAATTTCTACAAGAAGTTTTTCTCTTGTTAGGGTTGTATCCAACAATAGGTAGTGCTCCGGTTGTATCCTGCTACGAGGTGTTGTATCCTCTTTGAATCATTCCCTCATTTCTTCCCTTATCACTTTTGCTCGTCGGCTTGCTTTTGCAGTCCACTGTTTACCCTTGTTGCCCCTTTCTCTGTCACACGTCTGTTGTCCCACCTCTCCAGCCGCCCTGCATACAACCTTCATTAAGTGCCTCCAGCCCTCCTATCACTTTCCCCTCCATTGTCGTAACCCTTCCCTGCAACCCCCGTCTATTATCGCCACCTCCTTTTCCTTCCCTACGATTGTAGTCATCCCTTTCCCCTACTACTCCTCCTCCCAACCCCCCACTGATACCACCACTGCTCAGACCTTATCTTTAGGCCCTAGGTGGGGACTGGAGTTTGTTGATAATTCATTTCAATTTTGAGTCATGTTTGTGACCCTAATCATTTGCTTAATAAAGTTGCTTCTATTATCACTGGTTTGGTTAGTTCTGGAATCATTGTGTGCATGTCAAATTTATATATAAAACTGAGACGATAAACTCCCTTCTTCCATCAACATGAACGTTCCAGTATATAACAACTTAATTTCGTCGTCTTCATCATCATCATCATCATCATTACCAACAACATTATTCAAATTTTATAATATAAATTTTAAATGTAGTAAGTTGTAGCTCAAAAATTGATTTAACTTCATAATTGCCCAAGCACCGTTTTTTTTTCTTTGCACCAAAGATCTTTGCATTAATAATATTTCAAATAGTTAATAATATATATTTAATTTATACAAACATGATTTTGTTTAGTCTCAAGTTCATATGAGGATCAATTCAGTTAAAATAATTATCTTACTATCGTTATCATGATATGATTGTTTTGTGATTTTACTTTCTACAATCCATATAGGATTGGTTCCTGAAAAGTATTTCAAAAATATAAACATTAGAAATTGACATCATTATTATAGTGAAATATATTAAAAGCACATTAAATAATCATTAGAATAAAAGGTAGTAATTTTAATATTTAATCATGTTGATGTAATTTACTTGTAATTTAATTAATTAATTAATTAATATATA